GGGTTATAAATTCATTACTCAAGGTAGTTAAAAAACAAGGAGTGAGATGCCTACCCGGAACAAGTAGTTTTCAGGGGACAGAGAAAGTTTCTTTCCATTTGTAAATACCATGTCGACAGGCGGAAAGGCTTTCGAGAGTTGTGAAATGTCACTGAAATATACATGAAACTTTGATACTTCTAGAAATGCCAAGTTAAAAAGGAAAAAATGCAAAATGATCTAAGTAGTGATATATATTACCTTCCTGCACCAGAAAAGCAGATATCTTTGTAATTTGGATCAGGCCCTTCAATCTGTTTTAGAGAATGAACCGCTTTCATAACCTGAGAAAAGGATTGCCAGAAGTTCATTGCAGAAAGAAAAGCTTTTTCTGATTACACCATTTTTAACAAAATCCATTACCCACTAGTTATTAGTAACACATTGTATTACTGCACAAACCATCGATCATTTTTTAATGCAAAGGAATAGAAGTCAATAAACTACAAACATCAAAGGTTTGCAGTAACTCCACAAAAAGTTCATATATATCTTCTTCTTTTTTAGAGAAAAGAAGTTCGTATATATCAAACAAGTTTTCCGATTTCTCTCCAACATTCCTGGAGAATATCGCGTGGTACTTAGTTAAATTCAATAATTAACAAGAAAACTACCATTCATGGTTAAGCAACACCAACTATAATCAACACCAAGTATAATCAGTGGTTAAGCAATGTAAAATGAGTAGTCCATTAAGATGCTGCACCTTATGGAAAATGGTTAAGTGGTGGAGTTGTAGGATGACAAATTCCTTTTTTCCCTTCAAACTTGTGTAGTAGGTATTGAAGGCTTATCCGAGTAATTAAGTGTGATTAAGAGGTTTTAGGTCCAAGTCCCACAGAGTACAGAGTATTCAAGTTAGTTCTTGTCACACTAGTCAATAGCATAAATAGTACTTAGATAACAGCCCAAAGAAATAAAAGGAGGACTTCTGCAAGCAAAAGGGCATTAACACTGACACATACTCCCTCCGTTTCAGAAGAATGAACCTATTACTATTTGGGGGGTCAAACAATGTTTTCTTTGACCATGTTTTTTGCAAATAGTTCTCAAATATTTTGAATTGTTAACTATTGTGACTTATAGTACTTTTTATATAGTTGTTAAATATGTAAATTTTATTTCAAAAAACTTAAAGAATCTATGTCCGAATTCACACCGAAAATTAGTCAATTTGATGCTCATACTCTAAAAAGGTTCAAACAAATTGAAATCGAGGGAGTAATAGAAATGAAACTCAACTTTCCCAGGTTTAATTTCCCAGGATATTCTGCACGTCACAAGCGTGCTACTTTCCACTACTCTTCGCAGGCAGAATGCAAGACAAAGATGACAGAAATGATAGCAAGAAATTAAGAGAAAATTAATCTTACAGCATTCTTGAAGGCTGCAAATGCTGCTTCTGGAAGGTAAGCATATGTGGTACCACTATCAAGCACAGTCCCATGATTTCCATCAAAAACCAGTGGATTCAGATTCAGTGCCTTCCCAGCAACATGCATCTCCTTTAGCTCAATATTGTAATATGGACTGTTGCCATCCGAGACTAGAGTAAATGCGTAAGTTTATCAAGTGCATTTGTTAGGAGACACCTAACATTCCTATGTCTTTAAAGCAATTATTTCAAATACTTACCTGCGTACAGGATCCGAATTGGTAAAGACCATGTCTTCAGGGGGTTTTATTCCACCAAGAACCATTGCACCGCCACCGAAGTCCATCCCTCCATAACACAAAGAGAAGGAATCACTAATTACATGTTTCTCAACTAGCTGATCCACTATACTGAGATCCCCACGACCCAAGCCCATTATACCATCAGCGTGTTGGCTGTAAAGATCACCAGTCTCCCTATTTTCACATCCAAAAACAGCTCGCTGGGGTGCAAGCTCACTTTGGTTTCCAAAGGAAACAATGTCCTCTCCAAGCACCCCGCTACTAGAACTCATCTCAGCATACTGTCTTTCGTAAATGCATTGTTCCCTCTCATTGTCACATGTACAGTCAATATTACATTTTACAGGTTGATATGTACTTGACATTTCTGGCTGAAATCTAGGATCCTAAATAAGACAACATTCAGAGACTTAAGAAAATGATAGAAATCAAAATGCAATAGAATTTAAAAGGTGAAGTTAAAAACTTTTTTCAACTATATAGGCCTCCAGTGTGTAATCTTATAGGCTACAAAGTTATCAAGAGGAGTAATTGGTTTTTTTTTTAATTATTATTAAAGGTCAAATAAGCAATACGCCTCATGAAAAACCTCATGCGACGAATCATCCTTGCAATGACTTCTATAGCTCAGCAACAATGAGAGTGTTAGAAATATTATTTATGTTTCATAAGTACAAGCTTAGAAACTGATATTTTTCCTCACTTTACCTCTAGACGGTTTAGTCCTTCAATTTTTCCTTCTCTTTATGATAATTCAAATTACTTATCATAGTAAGATTTTTAACATTGGACGTCGATCTACCACAACTGTCCTTCTCAATCCAAGCTTGGGACCAGATATACAACAACAACAACAACAATAATGCCTCAGGCCCAAACAAGTTGGGTCAGCTAAGCTTGGGACTGGTTAGACTTCGCAAAGATATTGTCAATATAGGGATAAGTGTGATGTTTAGAGAATCCCTATAAAAGACGGATTACTTAGTACTGAAATAGTATGGGCTTAATAGAGCAGAATGTATACAAAAGATTGATATAGCCCAATGTAATCAAATGCCCATTTGAGGCGCGCTCAAAAAAGCTAAGGGTATGCACTTCGCCTCACCTAGGTTGCGCTCCAATGTAGGCAAAGCACTAAGGTGTGCGCCTCATTTTTATAAGTTCTATCTTGGATAGAGCAATACAAAACAATAATGATTGGCAAAAATATATATTCATTGATAAGGAAATCATTATAAATGAAATTGTTACCTATTTCTTGCATTACATATATATTCTTTTTTTTTTTTCTTCCTTGCGCCTTTTTTAACTAAAGCCCACACTTAAATTGCTCTTTTCGCTTAAAGCCCCGATAGACTTAGACCGCTTTTTAACGCTTTTCGTCTTTGACAACACAAATATAGCCAACCTTAACTAGTTTAGGATTGAGGAATATGTGATATATATTCTTGTTAGTGAGATGCATTTAAAATGCTAGAGAAAGATAGAACCGTGGTTTCCCCAGACATAGAAATATGGTGTGCTAAAGCACCCACCTAAAAGGGCAGCAATTAACACTCAGGGACCCACTTGGGTGCTATTCTCACTAGAGAGATTTTGAGAAGAAGGGATAGCAATGATCTTTTCTTTCGTGAGTGCAGAATGGACGACAGATGTCATATTGTTGACATTGTGCTCTAACTCTTAACTGGGCCATGCCAACTTCAATTACGTAACTTTTGCTAAGGTGGGTCATAAGGCAGAGGGTAAGATTTATGGAAACTGACACCCTTTTCTCTATTTTGTGTATGCTTAAGGAGAGAAACAAAAGATCATTAGAAGGATTACCAATTGAATTTTCACAAATATAAGAAACATTGTTATTTTTCATATTTTCAATAAGTCCAGTATAGGAAACATCTTTAGCCTACTTTTTTTGTAGCTGAAATAGAAACTCCACTCGCATCATTATGTTTGCTGATATTTTTGTCTAAGTTCACAGTTATATAGTGCTAGCCTTAGTTCCCTAGTCCTTTTTGTTCACCCTTGTAACTGGTGGTGCCTTCTTAATACATTTGCTACCTTACCAACAATGTAACTACACTACATGTTTTTTAAATAGAAATCCATCTAATAAGAGGTGCAACAATTCATTTTTTAACCCAAAAAAGAAAAAACCACAAAAATGCAAACCCAATTCTTTACTAATTGACCAGCATTTCCCCGCAACAAAATAGCAAGATCCAAACTAATATTATTTCTTTCTGCATTTTTATTATTCTAATGTAAGCAAAGCATAATATATCTGAGGTTTAAATGTTCTATAGTTTCTATAGTCCACATTATGGAATGATATAAGTGTTCATCAAATACTCACATGAGATTAAGCTTGTTCTATCCTGAAAAGCAACATCTCTTTCCCTCATAAAAATAACCGATGAACCTTATACTAACACAGTTCATGAATTTACTCCTTTTTCTACCACATCAAGATCTTCAAGTTTCTGAAGCAACACGAATAAAAATGCTTGTGTTAATTTTTATTTTCGTATTGAGCTACTAGCGGTGGGAAAATACATACAACTGCAAAGTATTAATATCATTAATATCCTGAAAGGTAAAAAAGAAAACAAATTCAAAAATGTGCCCACCTGATGCTTGCCGCATTGTTTGCAGGTTATACACGGCACATATGTAACAGTACTCCCAGTATCCACTATAAGAGCAAACCTCTGGGAAGGAGTTCCAATCCAAAGACGGGTTGTATAGTATCTGCATCAAAGTAATTTGCAATCAATAGGCGAATAGAAAGTAAAAACTCCTCTTAGGGAATGTATTGGCATTCCATATAAGTAAAGGAACCTATTTTCTTTACCAATAACTCTAATTCTTACTCCATATCACTCGTTTCAATTAAGACATAAAAATCCAAATATACAAATACTTTACCGTACCATTCGACACCTAGTTTTATGTCCAAGCAAACACTTGAAAATGATCTAGAAGATGATTTTACGAAGTAAAACATTTTCAAGTCCAAGACATTTTCTATGAGAAAAAAAGATTATACGTGCAGTGAAAACAGATCATGAGCAGTGAATTTAAGCAACTGACCCGTTGAGGAGTAGATCGTCGTGGAGAGCCATTCGAGCATTCGGCGGGATTTTCTGGAGGAGTCGACGGGAAGGCGAGGAACGATAAGAAGGGTCTTTGGGAGGAAAGAGCGGGAGAAACATGGTAGTCCGATGACTGCTATTCGAAAAGCACAAACACGAAACGACATCGTAATTGATCAGTATAAATACAAAGGAGACGATCGTGAAAGCAGCGGTGAACGATGCCCGTCCCATTTGAGGTCAACTATGCGATTATAGCCAGATCGGAATCTCCAGTGGAATGTCGGATCGTTGGAGATGAAGAAAAATGAAGAGAAGATATGAAAGATTCAGCCGGTAAAAGGCCCGCCGGCAAGTCGGCGAGGCCGGAGGAAAAGGACTTAACGGAACCTGACAAACGGGTTAAGCGAAGCCGCGAAGGTGAAATCGAGATGTTAGATGTATTTTGTTTCGCTTTTTCGTTGCAACTAGTTTGCCTAGCATACAATTTTATAAATATAAATACTATCAATATTATTTAAAAAAGGTTTCGGAAAAGGACCAAAACTATCTCTATCGTTTGTTAAATGGTTTATAAATACCCTCCGTCCATCTATCCGTTCAAAAAAATACACTCCGTTCATCTATCCGTTCAAAAAAAACACACGAAGTTAGTTCTATTAACAAAAATACCCCCGCGACTAACGGCAGAACTGATGGAGTGTGTTTTTTTGAACGGATAGATGGACGGAGTGTATTTATAAACCATTTAGCAAACGATAGGGATGGGTCTTTCATTTAATGACGTGACGATTTTTAATTGGGCCACGTGGCTATCTTTGATTGGAACAAAAAATGAATATTATTTCAACCCATTTACCTTATCCGACCCATTTACAAAAATGGGTAGTATCTATCACACCCATTCCCACTCATCTTATCTCCCCCTTTCTTCTTCTCCAATTGGCACACTGCATACACACAATAACAAATTAATTAAAGAATAGATAAAACCCAAAATCAAATAACCCGAAATTCAAACCAGATTCTGAAATTTCTCCAATCAAACTCAGGATAAGTATTGAAACTCTTAAATGGAAAATCAACAGATACATTTGGGTTGTTAAGTAAGAAGACAAGGATCAAAACAAACCAAAAATCTGAAACAAAAAAATTGAGCCCAAATGTTAAAATTATTCAAATATATCAATCAAATCTAGGAGAAATATTGAAACTTTGAAAGGGACAAGTAATGGAAATCTTTGGATTGTTCATAAGAAGAAAAACGAGCCACGAAATAACAGAGAAAAAATAACTACATATAACTGATACAAGCATGATAATAGGTGAATTTGACTATAATCACGCACCAAATAATCACCTTCTTGTGAACTTTTAATGTGGAAAAATGACAACAAAATGCTCTTATTAGTGCTTTTCACGATTTGCAGGTGATATAGGTGTAAGGAAGGCTAAGGAGCGGTTTTGGAGTCACTTATTGATGAAAAAAGGCCAATTGTTGAATTTCCCAAGTATCCCATTCAAAACAGGCCAAAATTTCCGGGTACAAGTTCCACCGCGGTTCTACCGCGATCGCGGTGAAACCGCGGTGGAAGGCAGTTTCTGAAAGTTGAAGATTCCGCGAGGGCGTTTGGCCGCGGCTCTACCGCGACCGCGGTAGAACCGCGGTGGGCACAGTAAACTTCAGGGACTTAAGTGTAAAACACGGGATTTTTAGACCGAAACCCTAATTGAAACACTAGACTTCGCCCAAGAGAGGCATGTATTGTTTTTTTAGGTTTCTTAGCAAGGAAAACAATGGTGAGCAAGTACTCAAAACATCTTTCTTCCTTTCTTTTGATTTTTATGATGAATTCAAGCGTAGTTTATTCTCCCATATCTATGAGTAGCTAAATTCCTTGTCTAAGGCTTTGATGGAACCTATTGGGTGATGAACTTCTTGTTTATGTGAATACAAATTGCTAGTTTAATCTTTATTTGTTCAACTTCGTGTTCGTTGTAGTTAATTGACAGGATCCTCAATTAGCTGTACCTATTTAGTGTGCATAACTTGGAAAAGAGTGCATATTTAGGGTATTGTTGAACAACACCACTCCTAGATTATTAGAGGAGTCTATAATTGCGGGTTTAAAGGCGGGATTAGGAATAACGAAGTCTTGGGTGCAATCTAGATTGAATTGTGCTAAATAAAGCAAGCTAGTGTATCTCGGGAGAGTGCAATAGTAGATTACTGTGATTACTCGGGAAAGATTTGCGGTAAGATTAGCGTTCAAGATTGATAGAGATGAGTGGGTAAATTTGTATGAGCATAAACAGGAGGGATTCCATCAATAGGGGAAATCATTGCCTTAGCTTTGTCCCATAATTGTTTACAACCTTATTAATTTAGTTACAACCATTTAGTTACTTGCAAGCTAGTTGTTAAAGAACACTCAACTGAGAATTTGAATGTTTGAGAAGCTGGTGCTGAATACTTGGTGGGTTTGAAGATAGCGGTTGATAGGTTAACTCTCTGTGGATTCGACCCTGGGCGTAATACTCGGGTTATATTTGCAACGTCCGCAGAGTTCTTTTTTAGAAGGCATAGTTGGGCGTGATCAAAGCACACAAGAAAATTGAAACCAAGGTGCTAAAAAGCTTGAAATTATCACATTCTAGGATAAAGATTGAATCTATAAAAGGTAAAAAAAAGTAAAAGGTTACCTTTGGGATGTTCATAAGAAGAAGAAGAGGGGGACAAAGAGCCATGAATTGCAGATAAAGTGAAAGCCAAAGCCATATTTTCAAACACAAAGAAAGATTTGTTTCAACAAAGAAATGCTAAAAATTCTTTGTGAGATGAGAGTGGGTGTGTTGGGTGATAAGGAAAAAGAGAGGGAAAAAAAAGCAAAGAAAAAGAAAGAAAATAATTAGGCGGGTGAAATAAATAGGGTCGGACCAGGTAAATGGGTAAAAATCACCACGTCATTAAATGAAAGACCCATCCCTATCGTTTGCTAAATGGTTTATAAATACCCTTCGTCCATCTATCCGTTCAAAAAAACACACTCCATCAGTTCTGCCGTTAGTCGCGGGGGTATTTTTGTTAATAAAATTAACTTTGTGTGTTTTTTGGACGGATAGATGGACGGAGTGTATTTGTTTGAACGGATAGATGGACGGAGGGTATTTATAAACCATTTAACAAACGACAGGGATAGTTTTGGCACTTTTCCGAAAAGGTTTTAGTAAATAACTACTATCCATACCCGCACCTTATTAAAGAGGGTTAATCATGTTCTTGCTCCAATTGAATTTAATCAGTGAAATACCCCATAAAAGACAACGACAATAACAACATAATAATCCCACAAGTATGGTTCGGGGATAGTAGTATGTACGCAAACCTTATCTCTATCTCGTGGAGGCAGAGAGGCGGTTTCCAAAAACCCTTGGCTCAAGGAAAAAATGAAAAGGAGCAGTATCCACATCGATATATAAAAAGCAATGACATAACTGAAGCGAAAGAAATAACAGGTAGGAACACAACTCTACGAAAAGAAAAAAAGGAGAAAAAAAACTACGAGACTAATAGTGCAGCCACTAGGATAACAAAGGAATACACTCAGCTACCTCCTGACCTTCTACCCTAATTTTTGACTTTCTATATAGGATCATGTCCTTAGTAAGCTGAAGTTTCATCATGTCCTACCTAATCACCTCACCCCAATACTTATTAGGCCTACCTCTACCGCTCCTCATGTTCTAACGACCCGCCCGGTCGTTTTGTGTATTGTAGTCTCGTTCCCCCATTTATCGCTTCTTCTACACTCATTTGTGGTTATGTGGGTTGCCATGATGGTTGGTTTGGTTTCGGGTACGTTTGGGAGTAAAATGGGACACTTAGTCTCAAGGTTGAATGCTTAAGTTGGAAGAGTTAACCGGAGTTTGACTTTTATGTAGACGGCTCCGGAATGGAGTTTTGATGGTTCCAATAGCTTCGTAAGTGATTTTGGACTTAGGCGTATGTCCGAATATTGATTTGGAGGCCCGTAGGTTGGTTTGAGGCTTTTAGCGAAAGTTGGAAAGTTAAAGGTTTGGAAGGATGGAAAGTTTGACCGAGAGTTGACTTTGTTGATACCGAGCTCAGATTTTGGTTCCGGGAGTTGGAATAGGTCCATTGTGTCATTTATGACTAGTGTGCAAAATTTGAGGTCAATCAGAGTTGGTTTGATATTATTCGGCATTAGTTTTAGAGTTAGAAGTTCATTAGTCTCATTAGGCTTGAATTTGGGCGTGATTCGTAATTTTAATATTGTTTGATGTAATTTGAGGTTTCGACTAGTTCGCATTGTGTTTTAGGACTTGTTGGCATGTTTGGATGGGGTCCCGAGGGCCTCGGGGTGATTGAGATTGAAACCGGATTGGGAATCGGACTTATGAAAATGTTGTTGGCATCAGTTATGGTGTAACCACACCTGTGAGGTTTTGGTCGCAGGTGCGGAGCCGTAAAAGTGACCAGGTACGCGGAGGTACGAGAAACGGGAAGGAAGCCTGGGGAGCGCAGGTGCGGAGGTGAATCCGCTGAAGCGAACGCGTTTCTGCCCAAGAAGTTTCGCAAAAACGGATTTTGACTGAGGGATTGGGGATCGCAGAAGCGGAAGGTTTCCGCAGGTGCGGAAGCGCATGAGCGATGGAGCAACCGCAGAAGCGGTCCCCCAGGTGCGAAGAGGGGACCGCAGGTGCGCTAGGTCGGGAGCTTAAGTGAATTCCGCAGATGCGAAAATTGACCGCAAAAGCGGTATCGCATGTATAACGTTTTGGAGCGAGGTGCAATTTAGCTGGCCAATTTTATAAATGAAAGGTTTCGAGTTTTTCTCTCATTTTGGACTTGTGGAGCTCGGCTAGGGGCTATTTTTTTGAGGGTTTTGGCTAAAATTGAAGAGGTAAGTGAAGATTCATCACTTTTATTAATAATTATTGTTTACCCATTAATTTTTACACCTAGAATATGTGTGTCTGAGGTGAAATTTAGGAAATTTAGACTATGTTGTTGGAGAATGAAAATTGAGGATTTGGAGGTCGATTTGTGGATGGAATTGGATAAATTTAGTATGGTTGGACTCGTAATTGAATGGGTGTTCGAATTTTGTGAATTTTGTCGGGTTCCGAAGTGTGATTATGGGGTTGACTTTTTAATTTTCGTTAAAGACCTTAGTTTTATCTTTTGGGATTGTTTTCTATAGCTATTATTGATAAAATTACGTTGCTTTGGCTATATTCGAGTCGTTCGAAGGCCGATTCGCGTGGCAAGGGTTTGTTGGAGCATGAGTTGCACGCTTTGAGGTAAGTAACACATCTAAACTTGGATATGAGGGTATTTAACCCTAAGAACTACGTTATATGAAAGATATTGGGGTGACGAATGCGCTAGGTGATGGGTGGGTGTGTGTGTGCACCTGTGTGATCATGGTTTGGGGAGCCTTTAGGCTAGTACCGAGCTTTTTTTGCTATCATATCATGTTATCCTCGCATTTTCTCTACTTGTTTGATTATTTGAATTGTGAATTATGTTAGACATCATGTCTAGGCTATGTGCTAACTGCTTGAGATTTGATAGGGCTATTCTTGTTGTTTATGAGTTATATACCTTATTTGCACACATGTTCTCAGACATGACACTATATCCGTGTATGATATCTCTGTCTCAATACTTCTTATTTGATTCCTCACATGTTGTTGATAGCGCTTTAGGATAATTTTGTAAAACTGAGTATTTGAGATGTGTTTATCTGAGACTTGAACGGCAAATAACTGAGTTTATGTAACGATCCGACCGGTCATTTTGAGCTTTACGGTTCCGTTTAGTGGTTTGAGGTATTCGGTAGCTTCATATTATGTATTATGACTTGCATGCATAGCCGGATTTTATTTTCGTATATTTCAGAATGAATTTGGATGAGTGATACTCACTTTAGATGCTTGAGTTGGAAATGCTGACCGAGGTTTGACTTTTGTGGAAACAACCCTCTAATAATGTTTTGATGGTTCCGATAGGTTAGTATCGTGATTTTGGACTTGGGCATATGCCCGAAATCGAGTTTGGAGGTTCGTTGGTTGATTTGTGTTATTTTGCCTAAAGTTGGCAATTCAAAGGTTTAGAATTTTTGATAAGTTTGATCGTAGGTTGACTTCATAGCTATCGTGTTTAGATTTACATTTCAGAATTTGGAATATGTCTGTTTCGTCATTTGGAACTTGTCCACAAAGTTTGTCATCATTCTAAGTTGATTTGATAGGAATCGAATGCACAATTGTATTTTTAAAAGTTCTTGAGTTTCATGTGTTTTAGAGGTCTGATTCGTGGTATTCGGATGTTATTTTGATGATTTGATAGCGCGACCGAGTCTGTGTTATATTTTTAGACTTGTGTTGATGTTTGGTTTGGAGCCTCGAGGACTCGGGTGAGTTTCATACGCGTTTTGGAGTGTTTGGAAGATTTTAGTGTTGTTGGTATTGACCAAGTGTTGCAGGTCTCACATTTGTGAGATATAGATCGCATTTGCGATATTAGGCTAGAGTCTGCTAGGTTCGCAATTGCGAACCCAGAGATCGCATTTTCGAAGGGGCCTGGGTTGGGACAGTTCCGCATTTGCTTCACCTTTCTGTTTGACACTTCCACTTGACCACTAGTTTGGGGATGATAGGCGGTGGCTACCTTGTTCTTAACTCCATACTCTGCTATAACGTTGTTCAACAACTTGTTACATAAGTGAGTTCCTGCATCACTTATCAGAACCCTTGGAGTCCCAAAGCGTGTAAAGATGTGCTTTTTTACAAAGTTTACCACTACCTTTGCGTCATTAGTAGGAAGAGCAATGGCCTCCACCTACTTAGACACATAGTCAATCGCCAACAAGATGTACCAGTGACCATTAGAGTATGGGAACGGTCCCATGAAATCAATCCCCAAATCATCAAAGATCTCTACTTCCAGAACATTTTGCAAAGGCATCTCGTGCTTACTCGTGATTGTTCCTGTTCCTTGGCACATGTCACACTTTTTAACAAAGTCGTGTGCATCCTTAAACAATTTTGGCCAATAGAAACCCGATTGCATCACTTTTTGGGTGGTTTTATCCCCACCGCACTGACCCCTTATGGAGAAGCGTGATAGTCGTGCAATATTGCATTCATCTCCTCCTCAGGAACACACTTTCATACTAACTAACCTGCGCACTGCTTATACAATAATGTCTCATCCTACAAGTAGAGCCTCACATCATGTAGAAATCATCTTCTATTATCAAGTTCAATTTCGATGGCATCACCCCACTTGCAATAAAATTCACGTAGTCTGCATACCATGGGACTGCACTCGAGGTGACTGCCAATAACTGCTCATCTGGAAAGGTTTCCTTAATCAAACCTCCCTCAACCACTTGGTTCCAATTTTCTAATCTAGACAAGTGATCAACCACTTGATTCTCTGTTCCTTTTCGATCTCGAATCTCCAAGTAAAATTCTTGCGAAAGGAGAACCTAATGAATCAACCTCGGCTTGGCGTCTTTCTTTTCAAACAAATACCTTATAACTGAGTGATTTGTGTAGACGATAACTTTGGTTCCCACAAGATAGGATCTGAACTTGTCAAGCGCCCACACTACTGCAAACAACTCTTTTTTAGTAATAGTGTAGTTCATCTAGGCTGGATTCAGAATTTTTGCTCGCGTAATAAATGGAGTGAAAAAATTTATCCTTCTGTTTTCCCAAACAGCTCCTATTGTGACTTTGCTTGCATCGCACATCAACTCAAATGGTTGCGCCAGTCCGGGGCAATGATAATTGATGCAGTCACCAATCTTTTCTTCAACTCCTCTAATGCTTTCAGACAAGCATCATCAAATTTGAAGGGGATATCTTTCTCAAGAAGCTTGCACAGAGGAGAGGAAATTTTAAAAAAATCTTTAATGAAACGACGATAAAAACCTGCATGGCCCAAGAAACTACAATTGCCTTTAACGGATGTAGGTGGCAGCAATTTTTCAATCGCCTCCACCTTTGCCTTGTCCATTTGCAGACCATTTTTGGACACTTTGTGCCCCAAGACTATACCTTCTCGTACCATGAAATGACACTTCTTCCAGTTTAGCACCGAGTTTGTTTTTCACACCTAACAAGCACTTTATCGAGGTTTATTAAACAATTATCAAGAGAATACCCAAACACAGAAAAATCATCCATGAACACTTCTACAAATATTTCAACCATGTCAGTAAAAATAGCCATCATGCGCCTTTTAAAAGTCGCATTATAGAGACCAAAGGGCATTCCCTTGAACACATGCCATATGGACACGTAATTGTGGTATTCTCTTTCCTCTGGGACAATAGAAATCTGATTATACCCCAAATAGCTATCTAGGAAACATATTCCTTTCCAGCTAGTCTATCAAGCATTTGGTCAATAAAGGGAAGGAGGAAGTGGTCCTTGTGGGTGGCATTGTTTAATTTTCTATAATCTATGCAAATTCTCCACCCCGTCACAGTTCTTATGGGAATCAAGACGTTATCTTCATTAACCACTTCAGTTATCCCCCCTTCTTAGGCACACATTGGACGGGGCTTACCCATTTGCTATTAGAGATTGAAAATACAATACCTGTATCAAGCCACTTAATCACTTCTTTTCTTACCACCTCTTTTATGATTGGATTTAGGCGGCATTGGTGCTCTACACTTGGCTTGTGTCCTTCATCCATGAGAATTTTATCATATAGAAGGCCGGACTAATGCCTCTAATGCCAGACATCGTCCACCCTATTGCTCGCTTGCGCTCACGCAACACTCTTAACAGCTTTTCTTCCTGCAATTTAGACAAGTGAGAGGAAACAATAACAGGTAGAGTGTCAAAAACACCCAAATAAGCATATTGAAGGTGAGGGGGCAAGGGTTTAAGTTCCAATTTTGGAGCCTCATCAATTGACGGCTTGGGTGGAGGCCCACTTGGCCTATTTAGGGCCTCAAAGGGGTTTAATCTCTGCATGTAGATACATGATGCATATGTATATGCATTATCTCCTCAACCTCATCATCAATCTCCAAGCTATCGAACAACATGAGTGTTTTTGAGAATCGTCTAGATATACACTCGGATCTATAAGTTGCTCATCCACCTCTACAACAGATATCATAGAGAGCTCCCCATAATGGCGGGGGAGTTGAATCGCCTTGTAGACACTGAAAATAGCTTCCTCATTATCCACCCTCATAATCATTTTTACCTCTCTTACTTTAATAATTGTATCACCTGTAGCCAAGAGAGGTCACCTCAATATGATTGGAACTTGTTCATCAGCCTCATAATCTGGGATAATGAAGTCCACTAGGAAGATGAATTTCCCAATTTGCAACAGCACATCTTCAATTACTCCTTCAAGGTAAGTAATGGATCTATCAACTAATTGCAACATCACATTGGTTGGTCTTGGAGCTCCCGGACCCAATTGCTTGAACAGGGACAAGGGCATTAGATTTATGCTCGCCCCCAAATCACATAGAGCATGGCCTACATCAACATTACCAATCCGCACAGGTATGGTGAAGCTGCCAAGATCCTTAAGCTTTTGAGAAGCTTGTTTTGGACCCTCGAAGTGCACTCCTCAGTAAGTGCGACTGTCTCGAATTCAGTCAATTTCCTCTTGTGAGACACTATATCTTTGATGTACTTAGCATATTTTGGAATTTCACGAAGTACATCCACCAATGGAATATTTAATTGATCCTGGCTCAACATAGAGAGAAATTTGTTAAACATGCGATCATCATTCTTCTTCTGCAACATTTGGGGGAAAGACAGTGGTGGCCTTAAAGCACCCACTGGCTCTGAACTTGCATCATCTTTATTTGACTCGTGTGTTGCTTTATGAATTAACTCCCCCTCGTGTATAGTCTTATCCCTTCTCTTCTTTGGCACTTCTTTTAATTCCCTTCCTAGTGTGTCTGCATTAACTCGAGGATTATACTCTATATCACTTGGAAGAGTGCCTGCAGGCCTAGTATTTCGATTTGACACTAACTGCCCAACTTGTCTCTTAAGATTTCTAAATTTAGTCCTGAGTTATTGATTGTCAAGCAACAAATATTCAACGGGTCATTTGTACTCTCCTTTACTTGCTGGGGTGGCTTCTGAGGTTGACTGTAATTTCCTTGGGGCATATACTGATTCTGAGTCATCTGATTTCCACCCTATGAGAAGTTAGGGTGTTCTTCTAGTTTAGGTTGTAAGTGTTCCCATATTGTGCATGCTGATTTTATTTACCCATAAAACGTTACAGTTTAATTTATACGTGATTTATAGACAAGTGAACCAATTTGATCCTGAAATAATAAGATAATTGAAGAAATATATAATACTTAGCCTTGAGATGGAGACGAAATAGTAGAAACACAATGGTTCTGAGCGCAGAAATAATGAAATAGAAAGGCAGGAAGATAAAATTGTATTAAGCTTTGGATAGAGTGTGGTATAAGTTTGCCAGAAAATTTTCTTATCCTTTACAATGATAGTTGAGCTCATTATTTATAGCTACGTCTAGGGAAGGAGGTCATAGGATCGTGCCCCTCTTTAATATGAATTATGAGGGCCATTGATGAAGATGTAACAGTGAGCATAAATGTCAAATTCCTTGTAACGGGCAATCGTATTTAATGCCATGGAATATCCCTACAAAATGCTACCAGGCGAGGAGTATTTATTACATCCTTATGAGCATTATTCTCCCCGGTGACAGACAGAACAGTTGCCTTTGGTCTTGGACATTCCCCCCGTCTTAGGTTCCACGTGTCCCTTTTTTGGACGACCACGTGCCATAGCGTATTTTATCCTATACAGATAGTCTCCCTGCTTTCTGGTGATATAACTTTGTGTTACCGAGAAGTTGGTAAAAATATTCTTTTGGCGGGAATTACTATAACTCCTTCTGAAGGCTTCTAACAGTTGATATAACGCACGTCTCTCCGCATTTAATGCCCCGAACACGCGTCATCCCACGATTCATCATAGCTTTTGCCAATTATCGAGGTAATCATGGCTATGAATTTAGCCGCCAAAACTTTTGCTTATACGCATCAACTTTCTCCCTTATACTCCATAATTTTCCAAGCTTTCCTTATTCGACTTGCATCCTGCTCTTCATCTTTTCCCTAAATCTCTTCAAGCAAAAACCTTTTCAATCTTCTGTACAATGGCTTCTTCCTCAAAACATACCAGTTCTTCAAAGAACAAGAACAAAGCCGAGAACTCTGCTCCTCCAACAGTGGGATCCATCATCCCTAGAAGTTTTGTTACCACAAAAGACTTCGAAGAGAAATTTCCTACTGCGAACCCTCGCACATGGGTTGTCAGTAGGTATCCTTCTTCTATCTGTCCTTCTAGCATTCTTGTTGTCAAGGAAGATCACCGCTGCCATGATTTGGATATTGTTGCTCCTGATCTATCGGAGTGAGTAACACTACCTAAGGAGGGTTTTACATACTTCTACACGTATCCCTTTACTTTGGGTGTGTTTTCTTTGAACGGAGAGCTTGACTCCGTTATTGTGGAGTATTGTTTTCACTACCAGGTATGTTTGGCACAAGTAAGTCCTTCTGTGTGGAGGACAGTTGCCTGCCTTCGACGTTTATGCCAGGAAATGGGAGAGGGGCTATCTTTAGCTCATGTGATGAATCTTTATTCTCCCAAGATCTTCCGCAGGGGGATGATAAACCTCTGCAAGCGTGGCCACTATGCTCTGTTGTCTAGCATGGATGACGATAATGACCGTGGGTGGATAGAACGGTTCGTTGCAATTGCCACCAATGATATGATCCCTATAATGACTTCATCCTTTCTGGAAATGTGGAACCACATTCGTAAGCTTTTTGATTCATATTTAGTTGATTCGGGATTCTTCCATATTTGTATTTATCCTTCATTCTACGCTTGTTTCAGGAATTCGATGGGTTCCGCCTATGGTTGAAGGATTGAGCCAATAGGTCCAACAGATCTTGGATGTCACTACGCCTGAGACTCGTACGTGGAAAGAGTTGTCCATCAAATACGAGTGGAAGGCCAGAAATCATGGTAATTCAGACTAACCTTGTCTTAACTTTTATGTGAGGAAATTGATTGATCCCTTCTATCTTTTTCTTGAAATCAGGTCTTCCTACAGGCTATGTTGTTGTCCCCGAGGAGGACGTTTTGGTTGATCCTGCTGATGCAGCGAGGCTGCTTCAGGAGGCGCTTACTCAAACAGGTGTCTCCGGGCCTGCTATGGGCACATGTGTTTTACTATGGAGTACCCGGCCGAAGAACAAGCAACCAAAAAGAAGGCGTTCTTCCGTGGCCAGGGAAAAGAATAAGAGGGCGAAGATTATTGTCCCTGAGTCGTCTCTGAAAGTTGTGATCAGTAGCCCTCCTCCCGGGCGGTCATAGACACCGTGATGATCGACGATGATGGAAAAGCTAGTGATGATGGAGCTTCTCTACATAGAAGGCGACGTTCATCATCAACTCAACAGAATGCTCAATCTGTTGAGTTAGTTACACCAACTGAGGATGATTCCTCAGCACTTTGGGGGGAGTTTGATTTAGTAGAAAATGTTAACTCCAGTTTTCGGCCCCAATTGTTGTGCCCGGTACTGCAGAGTTGAGTAGCGAGTCCCTACCGTCTTTGGTTGGCGAGCATCTAAGAACCAACACTGCATTTGATGCAATGCTTCTTATTCTTCAACTCCATCAGCTTTATTTGCATCTTTACCAATACCAGCAGCAGCTAAACTATCTCCACCGACCACATCTGACCATGAAGAAGGTGTCCCTCTTCCCCAGTCCCCATTTCATGGGATCTTGGGGCAAAATTATGCTGCCTCTTCTGAATATCCACAAACGAGGATGAATGTTACTCTTTCGGTTTTTACTGGATGCAACTTGCTATCCAGGCCGGTGGAGCTTGCTAATTATCTGAAGCCTTTGACTTCAGAGAGAGATTGGGAAAAGATTCAGGCACTCTCGGGAGAATGTTTGTTGAACAACGCCATGCACAATGCCGCAGCGGTATGTTCCTTTCTTCCTTTGTTATTTCTTTTATTTTTGGATGAACATATTCTAAGTTTTACCTTTATTGCTTTGTAGGCCAACTTTCTTGCTTTTGAGGGCCTTCAGAGGTTGATTCATGAGAAGGAAGAAATTATTTCTGCACGGGATCAGCTTTTGGCAGAGCGGGAGCAAAGTGCCACTCGCCTCTCAAAACCGGAAGCCAAGGCCACTAAGGCCTTTGTTTTGGTGTCACGACCCAAACCGATGGGCCACGACGGGTGCCTGAGTCCTACCTGTCAAACACTCCTAAGCATGCGTCTAAGATATGAACTTGAACAACATCTGCTGAATTACGAAAATAACATACATGAAGGAGACCTTCCAACAAGGCATATGTACGTATACATGCAGAATACAGTGGGCGAGCTGGCAAGGCTGCCATAGACAACTATACCTCCAAAACTGAAAGCCGACAAGGCCACATACAACCCAACTAGACATACTGTCTACAGACCTCTAATAAAAACATAACTGTACAAAGACGGGACTAAGCCACGTCATACCCATATATATATCTACAAACGTATCGTACCAAAATCAAAAGCAGCTCCGGATCAAGTGGAGCATGCCAACTCTCGCTGATCCAGGATCCTAAGAAGGGGGACCGTCAACTTTCCTACCTGCACCTGCGGGCATGAAACGCAAGCCCCGTGAAATAGGGCCTTAGTACGAAAAATGTACTGAGTATGTAAGGCATGAAAATTAGTACGTAAAAGACATAGGTGAAACATAAAATAAAGAAACACATCTTTAAATCTAAATAACTCTGTAAATTCGGAAACATTTATAATGTCATGCACGTGCGTATAAATGTCGTGTCATGCATAGGTATGGGTGTACATAATCTCATCAAGCCACTGAGGGCATCCCATCATATCGTCTCGGCCACTGTGGGCAACATCATCAACATGTACCAGCTGATCAAGTAGTGGTGCGTATATAACGCCGTAACCTTTCCCATTTCCCATATACATGTATTTACATATATACGAGTATATAGCGCCATCTGGTCATGGGTCAATGCACATGTATAAATGGGTGAATGCATGAAAAATACGTAAAAATCTCAATATTCCTTCCGGATAAACTTTTTCAACTGCGTATTATTTTGAGACCCATGAACAGAAGATAATAATAATTCACATGGGGAATCAAGAATATAGACACCCCTAGTATTTCTATGAATAGAGTAATTTGTGGAAACTGTGCGTTTGCTCGTTTCGTTTGTGTCTTATAGATCATGCAAAAAAAAAAGAAGGGATAGCCTTCACATACCTGGAGTAGGGAAAAGTCCGTATAATATTCCGTTGGAAACCTTCGTGAATTGAACTTAGAACCCAAAAATCGGATTAAGCTTCCGCTTTTTGAAATTTTTGACGAAATTAGCTCCTGCTTCTTCGAAATTCTTGAACAAATCAAGCTTCCGTTTCCTTGAAATTTTTGGAACGAATTAAGTTTATGTTCCTTGAAATATTTGAACTAGGAGAAATGGAGAAGTATGTCTCTTGTTAGGATTTTGACGTTTTTTTGGTTCGGCTTGTCAAAAATGAATGGAACAAGACAATGTTTCCTTATTCAATTCCAATTCCTAGATTGCCACCTAGACTATATGACTACTTAGTCATTTCTAGCTTTTTGTGGCTTCTTGTCACGTTTTGGGATGTAATTCATAAATTTTTATCCACTTATTAGTTAACTGGGTAATGTCCCGTTACTCGGTAGTTAACCAATTACCCGCATAATTTAAAAATTACCACAAATTACTTAAAATTCTATTTATTTTTAATATACTTTATATATACGTTATACATTATACTACCGTGGTCATATGGTACCTTGCATGGTACTAGTTCATATTATCGGGTATTATTGCTCGACCCGTATTTTATCCTAAATTGGTCACTTTCAACGAAACTCGTTTTCTTTAATTCGTGTACCCGTTTATCCTTTATAACACTTATTTATCGCTTGTTACAAATAGCGTAAATATGTTAACGTCAAGATAATCTCATCCCCAAGTCTACGTCAATTAACTGAAGACGAAACTTTTAACGTACGAAAATGCAAGATGTGACATCCTTCCCCCCTTAGAAACATT